GAAGTTGATTCATGAGTTGAAAGATAAAAACTACAAACACTAACAGGAAGTTGTAGTCAATTCTGCTGAGTTTAAGTCTTGTCAGTCAGAACTCATTTCCTGTCAAACCCAGAAAATGAAAGCTTTAAATGTTCTTGATTTTAACTTTCTGTCAGAAATATTTAAACTTTAAACCTCAACAGGGTTCTGTTTGGAGGTTCAGGTGAATTTTCTTCACGTCAGATTTCAGCAACATTAGCTGTGGAGCTTTAAAAGCTGCTAGCTGCAGTGAAAGAGACCAGCAGAGCACTCAATGTCCCACAATGCTTCACTCTGTAGTGCCTGTATTTAACCTTAGCAGTAAAACTTGCACCTTGTATTTAACTGTATATAAAGATGTATAAGGAGCGTGTGACTGGCGGTGAGCAGCAGGAGCCTCTGTGGAAACTAACTTCAGTGTCACGACTGTCAAAATCACAAACGCTCGGCTGAATCCAACGTTTTGTTCTAATCGTCAGAGTTGACACGAAGCCTCACAGGAGCTGCGACCTGCAGGTCTCAACAGGTTTCTGTGTCTTTAACTCTGCAGGAACACAAGACGGTTCAGAGTAGAACAAATAGTCAACATTCACATGAAGTCCAGCTAACACCTGCAGGTTCAACTCTAGTTATTGGACATCGAGTGTGTTTTTATTCATACACGTTTGTACTTAAAGAGACGTTAACCAGCAGCTTCTGAGCACCTGAGGTACTGGTCCGATGGTACTGATGCTGACGTGTTTGAGCCGGAGCTTTGTCCAAACTTATCTTTTCAGCTTTACAACCTGCCCACGAAACAGGAAGCACAAATGTAGCACGCCGACACACCCGAGCTGCGTTAGCTTCAGCTGGGTTTTAGCTCGTCTTTTAGCTTTTACTCACCAGGTGCTGAAGGTAACCAGGTCTGGTCTGGTGGACCGGACCCTGTTAGACCCAGAACCACCACTGAGCGTCTAACGAGCTTTGCAGGGTTTGTGTTATCTAAAACACTGATGCAGATTAAAATGTTGTTTATTCTTGTTTAACCTGAGCCCTGCAGCTGTGATTAATTAATGATTACTGATTAATTAATCCTTTCACACAAATGAACAGGTAAACTCACCTGCCGAAGCCAAGGTCAGAACAAAACAGCTGATCAACTGAATGTTACTGAAAACAACTGGAGCGTTATGGACAGGAACGAGTGGTTCTGGAGTTAGACCTGCTTTAACGAGTTAGCTTCACCTGCTCACCTGTTCACCTCTTCACTTGTTCACCTCATCACCTGCTCACCTCTTCACCTGCTCACCTGTTCACCTCTTCACTTGTTCACCTCATCACCTGCTCACCTGTTCACCTCTTTACCTGTTCGCCTGTTCACCTCTTCACCTGTTCACCTCTTTACCTGTTCACCTCTTCACTTGTTCACCTCCTCACCTGCTCACCTGTTCACCTCTTTACCTGTTCACCTCTTTACCTGTTCACCTTTTTACCTGTTCACTTGTTCACCTCTTTACCTGTTCACTTATTCACCTGTCCACTGTCATTAATGGATCAATTACAGATTAACTTTGACAAAATAAGCAGAGATTATAATTCTGAAATCATTTCTAGTCTACATAAATCAGTTTAATAACTCGTAATCTTTAGATAAAAGGCTCGTTCATCTCAGAACAACAAACTCTTTGATCTTAAGTGTGACGTGAAGATGATGTCATTGATGAGTCTTTTGATCTTCAGGGAAAGATCAACAGAATAACTCAAGAAAACACGTCTCAGTACAGAAAGGTTATCTGGAGTCATGAGGATAAATGTGTCCTCTCTGGGTTTCCGTCCAAATCAAGACTTTGTTCGGTGTTTGTGTTCAGAAACGTAACTTACAACGTTTCGGTTTTAGACTCGTGACGTTAAACAGATCAAAAAGAAACGTTCTGATCCTCTGAGGCAAACTGCTGGTGTCACGCTACAGGCACAACAAAAACACTTAGACACGCGTGTTGACTTTCTCCATGATGTGTTCAGGCTCTGCAGGACTTTTCACAACCAAACTCAAATGTTTCAGTGTTGTTGAAAAGTTGCCCAACTGACTGGGCAACTAGTTGCTCTGGTTGCTGAGGTCAAACATTCCACGTGTCAGCTGTTGTTGTTGTTGTTGTTGTTTTTTAAGAGTATTTTTCTACAGCTTTTTGTACGTGGTGCTGTTAGCGTGTGCAGGACAACATGCGTGTTTCAGTCAGAAGTTCTGACTCTGTTGCCATGACGACGAGAATAAAACACATCCTGAGCGTTGATTGAAGAATGTAGATGCAGATGTTGTGCAAATACATGTTGTGTTATATTTGTATCATTGTGTATCACACTAATAAACACCAAAACACTCCTCACAGTGTGTTACTGTGTGTGTGTGTTACTGTGTGTGTTTGTGTGTGTGTGTGTGTTTGTGTGTGTGTGTGTGTGTTTGTGTGTGTGTGTGTGTGTGTGTGTGCAGATCTCAGTTTGTTTCCAGTTCCTGTTTCTCAGAAATAAACTCCAAGTTCAGTCTGAGATATTTTTGCATCAACATGTTGAGACTTATGAGTTCATCAGTTTCCATAAATCATCACAGAACCTTCAGTAAACAACGTGTTTATGTTTCTTTATTAGTTCATGAAATATTGGATTATTGTCTGATGAGGAGATGATTTCATCCTTCAAACAGAGACATTGTTTGTGTTTAACTGCTGGTGTAGTTTTTTTAGCAGATTCAGAATAATAAGACTTCAGAAGACTTACATGGACAAACAACAACAAGGAGCTCAGTGTCCATTGCTGGACGTGGGCTACTGGGGCCTCATCCTGGAGCCAGACCTGGTGGAGAAGCTCGTCTGCGAGCACTTGGTGAACTGGTCTCTACCTATGGGGCCCAGACAGGCTCAGGCCAAAGGAGCAACATGGGTTTGCCTTCCTGTGGGCCCATGTGGAAAATAAATAATTGTTCTAAACTTTAAAAAACAACTCTTAAA